TTGAAGCTTCCCATTATTTCCCTAATTATCTTTTCACTATAAGCAGGCATCGTGGTTGTAAACATAAATAATATAACGGCAGATTTAAGAATTGCAAAGCCTAGAGAATGCACCCTGAAAATCCATCAACTGACTACGCAAAGGCACTCAGTAAGGCACCGAAAAGCGAATAGTGCATAAGCCTGCAGGGTTTGTCCAATAATGTTATACATGACAACCACTAAGTGAACTTAATAAAGAAACCATTATAAATATCAAAGCCATAAAAATAAAAGCAACTGAAATAACATTAAAAATTGTATAAAATTGTCAAGGAAATCTGTGACTAATAACAAGTGTGCAACCACTTCAAGTGCTGTGCCTTGGTTCCTTGTTGATCTTTTCAGCTCAGCTCAACTTAAGTAAATAAAGGCATCCGCCCCGTAATATGATAAATATAAGTACATTATAACATGCATGTATATAATAAATGTAGTTGCACATACATAAGATTTACATGTGGAATATTTTTTGAAGTCAAGAGGTCGTACTTTTCAACAAGTGAAACACAAACACAGGATATCTAAAAATGGTTTCTCCACTTTGTGAGCTCATCAACGAATAAAAATCATTGAATGTAGTTTAATTTGAACATCAATTATAGAGATAACTAGTTCGAACATAATTCAACTTAGAACTTTGGAAAAATGAATGCAAGTTCAGTACAGTTATTTTGATAGCTTCCCATTATATTCCCTAATTTTTTTTCATATACGCACGTGTATTGTGGTTGTAAACAAGAAAAATATAACGGCAAAGATTAAGAATGCAAAGCAACATTCAGAGAATGCACCCCCCTGCAAAATCAAGTCACACTGGACTACCGCAAAGGCACTCAGTAAGGCACCGAACAAAAAGCAGAATAGTGCACAAAAGCCGTGACAAGGAGTTGTCGTACCAATAAATGTTAACAATGACAACTACATAAAGTGAACTTAATAAAGAAACCATTATAAATATCAAAGCCATAAAAATAAAGCAACTGAAATAACATTAAAAATTGTATAAAATTGTCAAGGAAATCTGTGACTAATAAATATAACTGAGCTTCGTTGAATCCTTTTGCAGTTTTATATTTGACTAAGAAATAATAAGAATAAGTTTGTAACCAGAAATGCTTGAAGTACAAGTTTGCAACTAAAATGCGCTTGAACAAAATATTTTTGTGTATTAAAACTTTGTTTTGAACATGCAAATTAAAACATTTACACAAGCAGACAGAAACAGATTTCGTCTTGTTTGGTGAATTTTAAAACTTAAAACCTAGGAAGCTGGAACCTAAAACACAGTGTGTCATAAACATTTCTGTAAGGAATAGGCATTTTTTTTTCAAAATAACATACAAACCCACTTACCTGAAGAAAATACCTGCTAGTGTTGTAAATATTCATGACTCGGTAGCCATTTTGTCAAGTTTGCAACCAATTTTCTCGCTTGAACCAAGTGTGCAACCACTTCAAGTGCTGTGCCTTGGTTCCTTGTTGATCTTTTCAGCTCAGCTCAACTTAAGTAAATAAAGGCATCCGTCCCGTAATATAATAGATAAGTACATTATAACATGCATGTATATAATAAATGTAGTTGCACATACATGAGATTTACATGTGGAATATTTTTTGAAGTCAAGAGGTCGTACTTTTCAACAAGTGAAACACAAACACAGGATATCTAAAAATGGTTTCTCCACTTTGTGAGCTCATCAACGAATAAAAATCATTGAATGTAGTTTAATTTGAACATCAATTATAGAGATAACTAGTTCGAACATAATTAAACTTAGAACTTTGGAAAAATGAATGCAAGTTCAGTACAGTTATTTTGATAGCCTCCCATTATATTCCCTAATGTTTTTTCATATACGCACGTGTATTGTGGTTGTAAACAAGAAAAATATAACGGCAAAGATTAAGAATGCAAAGCAACATTCAGAGAATGCACCCCCTGCAAAATCCAGTCACACTGGACTACCGCAAAGGCACTCAGTAAGGCACCGAACAAAAAGCAGAATAGTGCACAAAAGCCGTGACAAGGAGTTGTCGTACCAATAAATGTTTACAATGACAACTACATAAAGTGAACTTAATAAAGAAACCATTATAAGTATAATATAACATGCATGTATATAATAAATGTAGTTGCACATACATAAGATTAACGTGTGGTATATTTTTTAAAGTCAAGAGGTCGTACTTTTCAACAAGTGAAACACAAACACAGGTAATCTAAAAATTGTTTCTCCACTTTGTGAGCTCATCAACGAATAAAAATCATTGATTATAGTTCTATTTGAACATCAATTATAGAGATAACTTGTTCGAACCAAGTGTTCAACCACTTTAAGTCCTGTGCCTTGGTTCCTTGGTGATCTTTTCAACTCAGCTCAACTTTAGAAAATAAAGGCATCCGTCCCGTAATATAATAAATATTCGTACAATATAACATGCATGTATATAATAAATGAAGTTGCACATACATAAGATTTACATGTGGAATATTGTTTGAAGTCAAGAGATCGTACTTTTCAACAAGTGAAATGGGATGCGAGTATGAGGGTGAATGCTCTTAGTCTTCCCCGCATCCCATACCCAAAGATATTTATTTTACAGTTCAGAGTCATTGTTATTTGCCTGGCTATTGTTCCTCTCTTTCTTAAATGTGTTGCCGAAAGTTGTTTTGCAAATGATTTCGTCACATAATTGTCTAAATATTTCAGGCCAAATTTCCTCAAAGAAACCGATGTATGCAATTGTCAGTGCTCCTTGGTCTTATGTGTTTTTCTCGCATGTGGATGCATAATATGTTGTTGTTTTTTTTTGTTGCCAAATTTTCACAATTGATTCTGAAACGTGCACGCAATTGATCGTCTTCGACTTACTTCTCAACTTGATTATTTTAAACAAACCCTTGCACTTTTTTTAGTATCCCTAATGTAAATGCTCAAAAAACATTTTCAATTTTGCTGTGTTGAGGTTTCTTTAGGGATTCTAGGGATTTTCTCAATTCTATTAAAATCGGGAAAAAGTGTGACCCATCGGAAGCATTAATCACAACAAAATAACTTGAAAACTGCAGACTCGGTTTGATTGAGTCTGTACATGAGGGATAATGAAAATGTGCAACATCCCACACGCCCACGTAGCTTGAGCGGTAAGCAATGTCCAATACTTACAATGTTGGAAGCAATAATCCCGAATGACAAGAAAAATATAACAACACTGAAGTGTAGTACGGGACAACTTTTTCCAGCTGCCACACGGCACTTGACACCTGCTGTTGTGAAGTGTAAAAAACTGGAAAAAGTTTGATCGCTCGGAAGAATTACTCACAACAAAACGTGAACATTGCAGACCTGGGTTGACTGAGTCTGTACATGAGGAGTGCAACATCCCTCACGCCTCCTAGCGCCGGCTTAAGTGATCTTCAATTTTCAACACTTACAATGTTAAAAGAAATGATGGACCAGAAAAATATAACAACACTGAAGTGTAGTACGGGACTATTTTTTACAGCTGCCACACGGCACTTGACATCTGCTGTTGTGCTGTATAAAAATCTAATTATGAATCTTTTAAAATAATAAAGTCTATCTGTTTCGCAGCTCTAACTTGAAACTATAATAATTCCACAGCACCCCAAATATCTACAATTCATATAGGCCTTATAAAAATGAAGGAATGAGATTTGTTTCCCTTTTGTAACAAAATCGTTCATTTCGTGTAAAGTCCCTTTTAAAGCTAACTAAACTTTAGCTCTCACTGCTGTTATCGTTTCACTTACTTAATGCCTCTATTGTAAAGCATCTTTGTCATAAAGCTAGAAATGTTTTACTAACATGGTTAAAAGGCATAACTCTGTATGAATTTAGTTGAATAAATAAGATTCCGAGAGGGAATAGTGAAAATTATTTGTCAGGTAATTTATATTGATTTTATTTTGAATTTCTTCTTAAGTCAGTGTTAAGGGGCATGGGTGGTTGCATACCACTGACGACCATGAGCATGCTCAATCAAACCAAGTCTGCAACAGTTTCAGTTTGCCTGGCTGTGTGAGGTTTAAAGTTTTTAATTTTTATTTATTTATATTTTGTGATATTCTTGGACGGAGACTCATCCTTTGAAAAACAGTTTCCCGGCTAACCAAGCCACTATCGTACCAAATATCAACCAATAAACGCAATAGACTGTGTTATTTTATAAAGTGACTTTTGGATATATCATGAGCTTTTTCCTTTTACTTTGCTCTTGTCAGTTAATGCGCATTTAATTAAACGTAATGGTTCGATACTTTGGAATAAATTCTATGAATGGAATTGTTTTTTTACAAGTATTATACATCAATATAGCATCACGATATCTAGAGCATGAATAAATAATATTTTATAATTCATTAGGATAACGGGTATCGTTTTTTTTTATATAATTTACTTTTAGATGCAAATCGACAAATTAAATTTAATGAATAATGCAATAGCTTTTACGAGTTTAACATGCTTCTTTTAGGTTACAATATGCCATGACTTGATTTAACATGCATCGTGTGACTTTTGGATAGGTGTTTCTACAACATTTGTGTTAATCGTAAGGTCTATTAAGTGACACGAGAAATATTTGTATTGAAAACGGTAAATCATTTTTCGTGATATTTATATAATGAACTCTCACGCGTTTGATTTACTCTGTCATTATTTAAGATTAATTACCGATTGATAAATATTTTATTCAATTTTACGATTATTACAAAATGGGATTTGTCACGAAAATATAGAAACACAATAAAATATTGGATATACTTAGTACTTAAAATGATAAAATTGTCTTAGAAACATAATATTTTGATCAAAATATTGAAGTGTTGTACTATCCCGTAAGAAAGAACTGTAAGGATATAGCCAATTTAAAAATAATATTTAATTTGTATTTATATCAATTTATAATTTAGAATTAAATCTGTATTGTATTTTTTATGAATGAAATAGTGCTTTATAAATACGCCATACTAGGTTGAATATATACTGAAAAGGAGTGATTCGGATAATGAATTGTGAAAATAGAGTTAAATTTCTGTAAATTGTTGATAAACACGTATATATACTAGCTATTAAGAACGACAAGAACGACAACAAGAACAGCAACAGGGCAACAAAACTAAATAACAATTCAGTTTCTGTTTGTGAAAAGTGCATGTTACGTTTACATTGACTTTTATTAAGATAGCTATGAATTTTCAAATTAGAAACTACAGAAAAAGTGTAGCTGCTGTAGCTTTCTTATTGCTTTTTCCATTATTATACCTTTCGCAGACTTACAGTGTTCAAAATGTTCATATGGTTTTACCAACAAGGCGAAATAAAACGTTTGACGTATGTATAGTAGGAGCCGGTTTGTCCGGCGCAGTTATAGCCGAAAGATATGCTGCAGTTAAAAATAAATATGTTCTTGTAGTGGAAAAACGTAACCATATTGGTGGAAACTGCTACGATTTCATTGATAATGAAACAAACATTCGTGTGTCTAAATACGGTGCACACCTTTTCCATACAAAATATAAAGACGTTTGGGAATATGTGCAAATGTTTAGCGAATGGGTTCCATATGAACATAAAGTTTTAGCTTTTGTTGACGGAAAACACATTCCTATTCCAGTTAACATCAACACAGTCAACTCCTTATTTGATATGGATATCAAATCTATCGAGGACATGGACGCATGGCTGAAAAAAGAACAAATTCAATATAAACATGAACCGTTGAATTCCGAAGAAATGGCATTGTCACGTGTAGGTTTAAAACTGTACAAACTTTTGTTCAGACCATACACAATAAAACAGTGGAATAAAACACCTACCGAACTGGGACCGACGGTTTTAGCTCGTATCCCAGTAAGAAACAATTGGGACGACCGTTATTTTTCAGATCAATACCAGGCTTTGCCAAAGAGAGGTTATACAAACTTAATTAAAAACATGTTAAAATCACCACAGATTACTGTCCGTTTGAATGTTGACTATTTTGATGTTCGTTACAAAATTGAATGTGGAAAAACGTACTTCTCTGGACCCATTGACAGGTTTTACGAGAAAAAAGGGTTACCGAAATTGGAATACAGATCCTTGTCATTTGAACGTAAAGTTTTAAAGAACATGGATCATTTTCAGCCAGCTAGCGTTGTTAACCATCCAAGTCTAAAAGATAACTTTACACGTATTGTGGAGTACAAGTGGTTACCTAATCAAGAATTTCGTTCTAATGATACGAGTATAGTCTATGAGAGATCCACTGCCGACGGTGAACCTTATTATCCTGTTCCTAATGAACGAAATCAAAATTTATATAAACGTTATAAGACATTCGCTAACTCAGATCCTGATATATATTTCCTTGGACGCTTGGCAAACTACAAATATTTCAACATGGATGAAGCAATAAAAAATGCACTAGAGATGTTTTATAAAACAGTAAATGATTAACTCTCGTTATTTTAGTTGTTTTTTATTTGTGTCATAGGACTAGAAGATATCTCCTTTACTCAAAATTTGCACTCATATAAATATTAACATGAAATAAATTTGGGAATGTTTTCCAGACATAATATTAAATTACAGCACATGCGAAAAGGTTTGTTATTATAATTATGCTAATAAATTAAAAAAATCACAATCCTTGAGTAGAACAATTTTTGGGCAGTAGAAAAAAAAGCTGTCGATAATATTGTATGTAAACTGTGTAGTATATTTGTGCTTGATGATGAATTACATCCGTTCTGAAAGAAATCCTCTTATCAACATTTACTATGCTGACTTATTTTATAGACAAGAAAATAATTCTGAAATAAAGAGTACTTGTATATATTTGTGTTTATAATATTTGTGTAGATATGTTTTTTATAATATTTGTATACTAAAAATAATAGATTTTGTGTGTTGTTAATAAATGTGTGTATTATTAGGTTTGCTTGTTATTCACAAATTTTATGGTGGTTCACTTACTTTAACTAATAGGAGATGACTGCAAGTAAAAGTAAAAAAAAATCATCTAAACTAGTTAATTAGTGAATTGCATTATTTGGGGTTAACTGGCTCTCACTCGGATAATGAAACATTAATTGGTCAATGTTAAATATCTCATCTGCGTATATTAAAATGAGCAGATGCTTTAGAAAAGAGTCAAACTAGAATTAAACACATATATCAAAACAAACTGTGACCAATCAACAAACTATACGCCATTTGGGATAGATAACTAACACATAAAAATACAACACGAACAAAAGCAAGACCAAGCGTTTGTGTATCCAGCAAAACCATTTTGAAACTTTGACTATTCAAACCAAATTTACGATTTCCAATATTTCTTCCTTTTTTCACTGTTCTCGACTCGAAATCCAGATATTTTAACTGCTATTTGCGTATTAACACTTCTTTTCATATATCAGTTTCTCTACTTGTAATAGGGTTTATCAGCGAACAGCATGGATCTTGATCAGACTGCGCAGTTGCGCAGGCCGGTATGGATCGATGCTGGTCGCAAACGCACTTTGTTGGTTTTGTCATGGCGCGGTTCTTGTGTTATTTTGACAACATATTCAAAATATTTTGCATAAAACTGTGTTTGAAGCTATAATAAAATTTGTCGAAGAGAAGATTGTTTTCGATTAACATGAAGAAAAATCTTTAAATAAAGCATTAAAAACATTAAATGCTTGCCAAAAAAGAAGCACATCTTTCAATATTTCATTCAAAGGACTTTTGCAATACAAATATTTTCTGTTAAGATTAATTTTCGCTCTGCATTAATACATGTATTAAAATTTATTTTAATTTGAAAGATAAAATATGTAGGTAATCGTCAAAAATAGACGATCCATATCATGATATAATTTCAAGCAAGAGTAATTTTCTAGCTACTTCACAATGCCCGCCGACGATGTTATTAAATATGCATAAAACAATTTCCTGTCCTTATACAGACATATAGATGTGAGGGCAATGACATTGATCAGTAAAACGGTAAAATAAATGTACATGTATAATGAATAATACAAAACAATTATTCTAGTTCAAAAATCCGTCGTCAATGGACATATCAATAATGTTTATACCTGTCGAACATACATTTGTTGCCAAATTGATTTTTACCCGTAAATTGTTATGAAAATACTATTGTTTTTGCTTTTCAGCGTCATTAATAAATCATTGTGTTTTAAATTACCGTCGATGTTATGTTTCATTATTTGATTATCTTTAAAGAAAATCAGTCTTTTATTGCAATAACTGTCATACTTGTAGCCAAAGCTTTAATAATTTGGAATGAATTAACAATATTTAATAGCCTCAATGATAAACAGCTTAAAATAGTCTTGTTGCCATAGAATGCACCACAAGTCCATGACGTTGTACCAGCGGTTTAGACAATTTCTTAATCACTTAATCAGGAGTTTCAAGTGAAAAATGGATAATAAATAAACAATAAGAAACATGTGATCATGTCTACTTAAGGGAATAGATAAAATATATTTTACGTTTGACAATACTGTTCACGTGACCTATATCTCTATCATTAATATATTAGTTTCGAAATTAAAGGATAGTTTAATGAAAAAACTTTTGGCTATTAGTTTCATCCGTTGATTTTTATGACCATTTTTGTTTTTCTAATCTTTGATGGAATAGCAAGGCACTAACAAACTAATCATCATTCAAAAAGCAATCCATTCCAATTCATAAATTATTCTTGTATTTTGTTCTTTTCTTGAATTAGTTCAGTTCTTTTCTTTACATTAATTTTACATGTAATTTTTACTTGTCTATATATTGAATTTTACATGAAATGTTTGCTTTTTATTATATTACGTGATATTTACTTGTTTAAGACTGAGTTTTTCAAGAAGTGTTTGCTATTTATTACTATATGTAATGTTTGCTTCTTAATATTAAATCCTACATAATTTCAAAAACTCATAGAAAAATGTATAAGAGCCTGTCTTAAAGAATCACTTTCTTTAGAGTTTGGATGTAAACTAAGAAAGATGATATAAAAGAAATTATAACCGTTCGGTTATATTGGAGTGTGAACCGTGCGATTCCAGGATGGTGCAGGTCACTTTCGTTGGGATTGGTTTTGAAAACCTTTTTACGGCCATTCGCACTGTATATCTGCTCTGTATAGAAGTTGCCATTCATGAGAAAGTGGTAACTGCTTGACAGTCTGCAAGGGAACGATTCGCTGGCTAAACTGTGTTCTGGTAAATTCATCCAAAGTGTAAACTACCCACACTAAAAAAATGTGCCTGACTTTTATGACAACACGGTATAATTTGAAAATAGGATATAAAGTGTCTATTTAATAATTAAAGTGTCTGATAATATTACAGTTTAAATCGACATACAATTTTACTACTGTACATTTGTATAACACTTCAGCAGCTAGCTAGCCAGACAATAGCCAGACAATGAAATATATTAATTTTGAATTACATTTCTTTGTGTGAAATATGTGTATGCTTTATTTACAAACTCAGTCTTTGTAACGCATTCAATCCAATGCATGTTCGCAATAGAGAACGTTAGTTGTTAGATGATTAAATACTTTATGAAAATTTATAATTTCATGAGAGAAATGATCAAATACTTTTACGTCAATTATAGGTCCGGAATAAATTTGAACTTCTGCCTTGTTCTCTAAAATAGAGAAAAACAGAATCATAAAAGAAGACCAACACAACAAAATTGAAAATGTAGTAGGCTCTGTTTGATTGATTGATGGACGGTACTACTGGAAAGTGCAAGTTACCGTCCACGCCCCCTAGCACCGGCTTAAGCAGAATTCAACATTTTTACACGAAAATGGTGAAATTTTGAATTTTGAAACATCCGCAGATGTGTTCATACGGCTGTTATCATGGGACCTTCAATGTGACACAGGAGTGCCATTCCATGTATGGTCCCCAAGTAAAAGAAGGTTTTTGCCCTAAACGAGAAAACAATGGGCGGAACTAAATAAAATAGAATTTTGAAAGGGGATCTGAGGTTATGAAGCCTGCATATCACAGATAAGACGTCAAAAACAAATTTAAAAAGCAGGCATCATATCCTATGGGTGATTATACAGTATTCAAATAGGACTTCTGGAACCACCCAAGTTGAAAATGGCCGAAAAGAAGAAACTAAAAGAACCACATAACATGTATACACATCAATAATGTCGTGCTGAACGATCTTCAAGGATCGAAAATAAAACATCATTGATTAAATGTACGAGGAGACTTTTTACAGCCGCCACACGGCACAAATAACACGGATGTGACAATAAAAAAGAGAAAAACAGAATCCCTAAAGAAAGTCCAACACAACAAAATTGAAAATGTTGCAGGCTCGGTTTGATTGAGCCTGTTTATGGACGGTACTGGAAAATGCAAGTTACCGTCCACGCCCCCTAGCACCGACTTTAGCAGAATGCAACATTTACCACGAAAATGGTGAAAAACCATTTAACGTTTTTAAAATGCTTTCTGTTTTTTTTTTCAAAAATTTCTCCAATTCCGTGTAGGTACTTCTAGCGTCTTCATCAGAGTTTTTGTATTTCCGCTGTGGACCATGAGACTACCTATGTTTGAGGCAGTGTATAACTGCAGATGTCAAACACACCCTTGCCTTACATTTTATTTTTTCATCCGTTTTACAAGCGGCGATGTTCGGAAAATAGGAAGTGATATATAAGAATAACCAAGAGTTTATAACATCCATTGTAGCTGCAGTGGTATGGAAAAGAGAACTTTCATAAAATTGAGAACATAATTTCTGTGTTTTCTGTACTGACCTTAAATGAATCAGATTTAGCTTTTCTATAAGATTTCACAAAATTATTTCGGAATTGTACCTGGCGGTGTCGTTTTGGCATGAAATGAGCATTAGCCATTGGTCGTGATTCAAACAAAATGCAACAGGCATGACAATGCCAACTGGAGGGGACGGCTTACACATTTTAGGTGACGGCTGTTGCTTTGATGGAGTTTTTGTCTCAAGTTCTGTATAACAACCCACATTAAATCTGCATTGATTATGCAGTGGACACCATATCTCCTTCCCATTAAAACAACCGAAATGTTCTCCTGTAGTTGTCTTCTGTAGATTTCTTTTTGATCTACTGACAGCTGCTTAAGCATCTATCTCACATTTACCTTTCTCCTGCTAAGGATATCGTGTAAAATCTTTTGCACAGATGCTTTACCTTCTACCCCTAAGTTAGTAAACAAAAGCTCTAATATTTGCAACCATTGCTTGGACTTCGCCTAGGTTTCAGGCCTGTCACAAACAGTTATACTATCTTCACGAAACATGAAAACGCAATAGTTGAAGGTTGAGCATTATACATACTTAAAAAGGTAATCTTTCATTTAAGCATCTGAAAAAAGACAGGACTTTTCATCTGCAATCGTAAGCATTCTTAGATCTTAGTAGCGGAAACATCTATCTTACTAGTATATCCTCTCAGAGCATATATACCAAATGACGAAATCAATCTCAGCATTGAAATATGTATGTTTCTTAAAAATATCATTCTCTTATTATCATGTCATCCGAGTGTCCGAACAAAGAAATATACGTCATCAAAGAAAACGTTTTTTTGAACGGCAATATAACGACATTCCTTAATACGAAAACAGTTTCTGAGCAATTTGTGAGAATGTCTTTCTCGTACACTTATTGCAGCCCAAGGAAAGGGTCTCGGTATATGACCATATTCTGAAATCAACATCATCGCATTTTTTTTATATTTTAAAGCGGAACTGTTAAACGCTCTTTACATCACCGGTATAGCATGCATGATTTTTATAATTATTCTTTCTTCTGAAATTATAATACAAATTAATATCCAAAAGCTTATAAATCATTTAAATTCCTCTTTTTGCGTACAAGATTGTTAGTGTTGGTTAAAATTCATTTCCGTTTCTTTCTACAGATTTAAATATCTTGGGGAAAAGTGATCCGTCGGAAGCATTAAAAACAGCACGATTACATGAAAATTGCGGACTCGGTTTGATAGAGTCTGAACATGAGGGATAATGCAAAGTGCAATATTCCTCATGATCCAAGCACCGGCTTGAGCGGTACTCAATTCTCAGTGCTTGAGTCAATGATTCCGAAGGGCCAGAAAAAATATAACAACACTGAAGTGAAGTACAGGGCAGTGTTTTACGGACACCTGTGGAAAATGGGCAAAGTCTTCAGAAATAAGTCAACCCGAAAGATGCTTTTAACTTGAATTAAAAATTTGATTTATTTAATATTCATTTTGGCATGCAATATTTAACGAATTAACACATCATAATTATTATATCAGAAAAAGTGTATGTAATGCAAACCAGGGTCTGACACTTTAGTTTTTAATGTCATATACAATAGCTTTATTTGGCGAACATAACGTTCATACTTTTGACTGGGCATTGCAATTTGCAGATCAAATATTGATGTTCGTTTTATAATGTTTGTTCAAAGGTTCATTCTATACACTTTGGTCATATTTAAACAGTGCAATATATCCGAATTGGTTCAGTAAGTAATAAGTCAGTTTAAAAATAGAGTTCAGTATATTTTTAGAATCACGAATATGCATTGACAATCCTGTTAAGACGTCATTTGTTTTCTGAATAGAAATATGAATTATAAATTTAAATAAAAAATATTGAATAATGATTGATGCATTATATTCGCATAAAAATTAATTTGATAGAAAATTCAAATTAAATAATAAATGAGCCGCGTCATGACAAAACCAACATAATGGGTTTGCGACCAGCATGGATCCAGACCAGCCTGCGCATCCGCGCAGTCTGATCAGGATCCATGCTGTTCGCTTACAACTCTATTACAAGTAGAGAAACTGATAGCGAACAGCATGGATCCTGATCAGACTGCGCGGATCACTGTGAAAACACTATGATTTTACTAACTGCCACAAAGAATGGTTCAGGTATCTGGTTAATGAGTAACTCTTTGGAAACTATAACATGACACTAAAATATAATGATTTTGAGAAATAAAAGTAAAAGCATTTTTTTGACATATTGGAGTACTTGAATGTAGACAACAGCTTAAAGCGAAACAATAAATACTGGTTAAGATTGAACATTTTAAAGAACCCCAAATGTAATATTTTGTTGCTTCGGTTTAATTTAGTCTGTTCGTGTACAGTATTGGTTTATGCAAGTTAAAGTACTCGGCCCGTAGCACCAACTTCAGCAGAACTTGACATTTAAATCTAATATTGTGTTTACTTTAGAATTACGGAACATTTGCAATGTTATCATGAAACCTTACAATATGATATTTTCATGTATGACAAACGGCTTATGGGTCTGAAGTGTTTGGCACCCCTACACGAGAAATCAATAACTAAAATGAAGGTTTAAATTGGATCAGAAGTTATGGAATGTTAAGTAAATGACAGAGACCTCAATTTTCATTTTCATATGTAAGACTTGAACTTAAAGCAATTTTGGAATAAATTGTATTTTTTTTAAATTATGTAATATAAAAAGCATGGACAGAAAGGCTTTAATGGGTATGGTTATCTAACTAAACGCAAAGTAGAATTGATCAATCAAAATGTCAATGGTAATAATATTTTTTTTATCAAATCAGAAACTCTTACTATGTTTATCTCAAATTGTGTTTTCAGTTGCAACTTTTCATCATATATTATTTCATATCTCCCAGTAAATATGAATTACGAAGCCAACCCCAGTCTATTTTTTTTTAATGTATTATTTAAAGAAAATACACTGGAAATATCAATATAGAATATATAAGTCAACACCAATTAAAATTCTAAAATGTATTGTTTTATTGAAAAGCAAACTTTACAACTCTTTAAAACATATTTCTGCTTTATATCATTATTTTAAATTATCTCAAAAGCAAATGATTATTTATTTGTATCGGGGTTTTAAGGACTTTATTACATTCTTCCAACGTCGATGTTCCTTTAGAAATATTTGAGCCGCGCCATGACAAAACCAACATAATGGGTTTGCGACCAGCATGAATCCAGACCAGCCTGCGCATCCGCGCAGTCTGATCAGGATCTATGCTGTTCGCTTACAAACCCTATAACAAGTAGAGAAACTGATAGCGAACAGCATGGATCCTGATCAGACTGCGCGGATGCGCAGGCTGGTCTGGATCCATGCTGGTCGCAAACCCATTATGTTGGTTTTGTCATGGCTCACGGCTTAAATTTATTATTTCTTTTACAGTACTCATGGAAGCTAAAACAAAGCTTTAGTCGATTCTACTTCACTCAACATAAACGTAACAATTTACTTGTAATTTCAAGCATGAACAAACTCAATCGACAATGTATTAAACTTTTCAATCAAATTCACACTTTTTGTCAAATCTTCGAGTTTATCCCCATTCATTTCTGAATTGAATTCTGACAATAGCGTTGCAGCACTGTGGAAAATTATGTTCATGGTCCCCCAAAGAAGTAATAGTTTCTTGATTGTACGGACACTTTTCATTTTTTTTATTTTTTGTTTCACTCTTTGGTATGTATTCGGGAATATCACGATTTAAATAGTGTTTCGACATGGAATCATCTAAAATATTTGTTCTATCATTCATGTAACTGACAGTGCCCATGGTTTGTAAATATGTCAATACTGTTTTATGTTTGTCTATATTGTATCATAAAGGATGACCAAATACCTCTTGTCTGACTCTCGTCTTCTGTAACAACATATAAATAACGACACTTTGGGTATACTTGTTTCCAACACACTGGTATTTTTATGTCCTCATACAACGCACGTTCATCAGGACGTACCTGTTTGTAATTCAAGCCAACAATATTGTTCATAACGATACCATAATTAAATACATCGTCAATTCTAAAGAGAGGTGTCATCGACGCAGACTCGTATAAATAGGGAGCGATTTCATTGAGGAACAAAACATATTGTCCATGGCAATATGGCATATGGTATTTCAGACCTCTTAACTGATGCGGCTTAACATTAGTTTTCTCTTTAATACGTCCTCTGATTACTTTACTTTTCTTCCTACGTTGACAATGAACATGATATTGGTCTATTGACATCTTTGGTATATCGGTATCAAAAATTCGGAACATATTTATCACTACGTCGTCGTCTGTTTTAAGAACAAATTTAGCTTTCCTACACCGTTCTGTTAACCATTTAAAGCCTAATACAGACTTGTACGACAAGTTTTTATATGAATCTATGAAGGATCCTTGTAGAATATCTTTACTTCGATTAAACTCAGCCTCAATTTGTTCTTGAACGCTTGAATCTTTTGTTAAACCTAGCACAAATAAAACTTTTACTGTTCCATAGTTTAAATAGTAACTTGAATTTCCCCAGGTTTCTCTGACAACATTTCTCCTTTTGAAATTATTTGTTGAAGACAGAATCATTACAATCAATGACAGGAATCTTTCTTCCGAACAAAAGTTCTTATTTTCTAGATGATATGTTCCATTGATAGTCAATGCGTACTTTGGTGACGTAGGATTTATCAGTTCCATTAATCCGGGCTTCAACTTCACTTTAAAAGACATGTTCATCATAACCGAAGAAGTATTTCTATCAGAAAACCAACTATTTATTTTAGGTGCAAATCGATTACTAGGAACAAGGAATATGGCAAAATATGACTCAATGAAAGTAAATAACATGCAAAATGTAAACAATATGTATTTCAGCAAGTGTAATCCTTTATTTGATTTGTCTGTAGTAACAGTTCCATTCTTCGCCGACATATTGCTTAGATTTGTTATGTATTCAACCGCTCCAGTACGTGAAATCGCCCACAAACGAGAAAAGTTAAGTCAAACAACCTTATGTAACCACATCTTGATTCCGAAATCTGAAATCTAAATATATGTCATTATTATATAACGTTTTTATAAGATATGATTATGATAATATAAAAGATAAGAATAAGACATGGAATATTTGAATTTCATCTTATAAAAGACGAACATTTTGAAAACATTTTCTAAAAGCTAGCTTTACATACCATTTTTTCTCTCTGGTTTCTCTTATATCTAACAATTATTAAATCAATATGTCTGCGGTTAATTGTAATCATTTACTAAAAAAGGAATAAAAAATATGCACACTTTCATAAAAATTCGTGATATTGTATTACTATTTTTACATTTTTTAAGTATGTAGTTTATAAATAAATCAAGAATGTCATTCAAATAATCATATACGTACTATGACGTTAGTAGTTTGCTCCGAGTGTTGTTAATCCAGTGTAAATAGAATGTTATGTCACCTTCATCATTAAGTTAAACAGATTGAATAATATTTCTATTTGATATTTAAATGCTAGAGTGATATAGTGATTACAAATATATTTATAAAGACTATAGATCTACTAATAATTGGTATATTTCGAAAGTTACGCCATTCATTCTTTGTCCGTATTTCGTTGTCGTTATGTTTTCAATCTTTGGATTTTTTTGTAGAATACAAAACAAAATTACTTTGAGGTCGGTTGGTATAGCTAATGACCAAGATAAACATTTTAGATATTTTTACGATTACTTCTTTTTTATTATTAAACTTTTACCCCGTTGTTAGTGATCTTACTAGTTTCGAAACCTCAATGGATTTATTAATACCACTAGCGTGTATCATTGTACATAAGATTTTAGCTGTTTTAAAGTACAGAAAGTTCCCTCTATTAAGATCATTAATGGGAATGACTCAAAGTGGTCTTAAAATTGAACTGGTCTTCATAGTGAATAAGCTACTTTTACAACTTATGCAGTCCAACTATACTAAACTATATTTTTATGTACTCGTGTCTTAGACTTTTATTTAGGTTTTTTTTTATATCTTTTTTTGACATTTGAGAAACTTTTAGATCCAATTATATTAATGATACGATTTTTTTTATAGATTTAGCAAGCAATGATTGTAAGTGTCATAAGAATATTATTTTATAACAATGTGACATCGCGACAACACGCCGCACGAGAACGCGCCGTTTGGCTTGCATCGTAAGCGACGGGACGACAACACGAAAGTTCGACAACGACCGTTTGGCGCTTTGTCGTGCTGTCGCTAGCGCCAACACGACGCACAAAAGCGTTCCAAATCAGCCACCATAACTATGTCGTATTTTCGTTTTTGCAATTCCAAATTTCATGGCAAAAATCGAAAATACGACATGGCATAAATCAGTCATTATTATTGTTACGTATATACTGTATACATAGAGTTAAATTAAAAATCCACCTTTTATGGAGAATTTTAGCCCGGTTTGAGTTAAACGCGTCCCAATGCTTTTCATTTTCTTTTTCTTTGGTCACTAAGCATATAGAGGATATTTGTTTTTATTTTATGCTTTTCAGTGGATTACTGATTTATCCGTGAAAATTATATTTGATAATTTCACAGTGAAAATTATCAAAATATAATTTCACTTTTTTCAATGACGAAACTACTTTTTAAGATTTTCCCCATGTGGTACCTCAATTTTATTTTTACTGACAATTCTGACAATGTCAGGCTGTTAAAAGAAATAGCAAAGCTGAAATAGATAAATAACTTAAATGTCAAAAGTAATAAAGAGAGAAAACTTACTTCTATTCATTCAAATTCCAATCACCAAATTTCGTCACTAAATTTTTTTGTTTCGTTTTTGCAGTCTGAAAAATACATTCCTTCCCCATGCAAAACTGCTCTTGATGACATTTGGGCATATTAAAGTATCCTACGAGCAATAACTGCCGAATGCTTTATGAAAAATTGAAAAGCATTGACAGCCATCACTCGTAGAATAAGTAAAACAACCCAGCGTCCTTAGCTAGCTTCCAAGTTTTCCATTTTCCTAGCTCCTTTTCTGAATGTTTTCACTTCTGTCAACACTTATTTTTTGTCTGTTACAATCCTCAAATAAGTTTTCTTTCTTTTAAAAAGGTGTATGACTAACAAATCCAAATTATATCCCTCTGAATCTTACACAATTATTTTCCTCCCATGAAATACACAACTTTAAAAAATGGCTGCCGCTTACATTTTACAAAACCAGGTCTAATATAAATTCGCAGCATTATTATTAAAACAAGCGATCATTCATATTTTTTTAATAAAATGAATAAATATCACCGTCATTTAACCTTGATTGGCGGACTTATTTTTCAGCTCAAGACTTCTTGTTTTTAATGAGAAATTCCGTCTAAATGGGGCTCTCAATGGGGGAAACAGATTTTAATATTAAAGTTAAAATTATGGAAATTTCGTTTTAACTTGTTTTTAAGCATAAAATAAAAAGAAAATTTGTCTGTTTGTTGTGTAAGATGTAATTTTATTTCATCTCGTGAACTTTAAAAACAGTATTCTCACTCGTGGCTACGCCACTCGTGAGAATACTGTTTTTAAAGCCCACTCGATGAAATAAAATTTCATCTTACACACAAAACAAACAAATATCCTCTATGTTTTGCATGTAAGATTGAAATATAATTTCACTGAGTGAACACCAGATGCAATATTTTCACTAGTGGCGAAGCCACGAGTGAAAATATAATCGCTGGTGTTCACGAATGAAATATATTTTAATCTTATATGTAAAACAAATAAATTTTCTTTTTATTTCATGCATTTTAAGTGATTTTAAGTACTGCTTTTACTGATTTTGCAGCGTAACGTCGCGCATTCTCCCTTGTGACGTCATCACATCATGACGTCACATTATCAATTTTGAAATATAGGTCTGTTACATTTCTCTAATTTTGTTACATTCTAACATTATGTATGATGCCATCCACTTTCTTTTTCTAAAGAAGCAAAATTTACGCATGACGGCATTTATTTCTAGTTTTAAGAAGACATGTCATATCGAACTCACCGCAAGTGTAACTCGACAGAGACCTGACCGTTGGGTTTTTGTCAAAATTACCCGACTAAACGGCAGTTTATTCGAAATGAATGAATATTTTTTGTATTGCGCATATAAATATGATCAAATTATATTATTATTTGTAATAACTTTTCCATCAAAACATCATTTTGTGATTTTTTTTTGGGAGAGATTTTTGTGGGAGATGAAGATAATTGAATTAAAAGCATAAACCAAATATTAAAACATGTTTAAATGAAAAATACTGCAGTTTACATGGTTTTGAGAGGTAGGAGGGTTGTAGAGTGGGTGAGGGGGGTTGGCCCGGGGGTAGTGACCAATCATCGCGCCGAACACCTATGGTTCCAAATCTATATAATTCAAGAACGGCCCGTCAATTTTAGTTCGACAGCACAATGTTTATAGCGAGCTCGACGAGCTGGCCCGAAGGGCCTGCTCGCAAAGCGAGCTTTACGGTAACGCGAGTACCTGCTAAGTGATGGTTTTGAAAACTTTCGTCCAAAGTAAAAAAAATTGGACACATCGCAACCTTTCGAATTTAAAGATAACGATAAAAACTGAGGAATTCTGACTGAAAACGGATGTGTAGACTAGTCACCCGCGCACGTCTATGGGAACCATGATTGGACAGGGAACCAGAATAACGGAAGCTGTGTATAAAAAATGAAAATCGAAGGGGCCATTTTGTTGAAATCTGAAAAATAAAAACAATTTTTTTGTCGAATTTTGTTGTGAAAACTATCTAGAATGAAAGAAAATGGTCTAACTAAGAAAATGAATCCGAACACCAATATCTTTTATTCAGTCGTTAACGCTGTACAGACGTTTAAAGTATTGTTTACGTGACGTCACAATGTAGCGCCAAACAGCACGTGCAAAACAAACAAAGTACGCTATTTTAATGTCGCAAACGTTTTAAGTTTTACATTTATTTCACTTTAAATAATATTTATTTCGCTTGAAAAATTATAGATTGAAATAAAATACTTAGTAAACAAAGTTTTATCAACGTTTTCAAAACTCGTTATTCATTTCACGACAGGGGCGGAGCCATATTTAACACAGTACGTGTGACGTCACACGCACTCGTCACTGCATTTGAGATTATTTCATACTATTTCACGTAAAAAGTACATCGAGCTCGCTTTGAGGCTTTGCCTTTTTCATATTAACTCTTGAAAATGGATTCCTGACGAAAAAACATCATTACGTCACCAACACTTTACGAAATATATGACGTGACAAAAATACCTCGCGCTTTTTATGGATGATTCCATGTTGCGGCATTGACAGAGGGCGGTTAGGCATATGTAACCTCATAGAGATAATTTTAAACGAGATAAATTTGTCTTGATGGCATTTTAAATAATTTTTGTATACCCAGATTTTGCAGTAATTGTTAAAAGTACACCTTCAATTCATATATTAACAATAAAACTTTTGATAACATTTAAATAATTTTAAACACACTAAATGGCATAAATCTATGACAGAATACCTCTTCCATTAATTCACATATATAACCTTCGTTTTGATTTTATGATTTTTAACTATTTTATATATTTCTCAGATATAATTTCCCTACAAATTATCTCGTTATTCAAGAGTTCTGTAAATCCTACTTTTTCAGCTACAAAATATACCATATGCGGTATTATTTTCTCCCGCGAAAAAGTATAGCTATTGTTTTTTCACTGAATATTTTCAAATTTTAGGAAGGCTATATAATTATTTAGGATATCACTCTGCGTTACTCTTTGACTCGATCTCCCCTTCATATTTTAAAACTTAGTATGTAACACTTTGAGTCTACAAAAAAACAAACTTAATGCCCCTGATTAAACGCTCCAATTCAATCTTATTCTTAATAATATCAAATCACTGCCGGTATTTCTGGACATTTTGTTAAATTATGAGACGGAAAATTAATCTGTATTTACAAGCTTAAAGTGTATAGGAACAGAACAGAACAGAACATATACTTTATTTT